ATTATTGAAAAAATAAAAAAAAAATTGCCTTAATTCCTAAAAAATCTAGGAATTGCAGTAAAAATCTTCATAAAATCTAATTATTTAAAAGGAAAAATTAGATGCGAAACTTTGTGTCTATTTTACCCTCTCATTTTTATCTCCTTCATCCCCCAATTTTTTCTTGATCCATCAATACTTGCACATTGATGTTTCTCGAAAAAAAAATTTACGTTTTTTCATCTTTCAACTTACTCTTCAATTTTGTGTTTGCTTTCCATGCTAATCTTTAATCTTTTTCTTTATTGCCACATACTTTTTTTTACAAGTAATTTATTGCAAAAATATTATACCTTTGAGTTCATACTATTATATATATATATAAATAAAAGTATAGGTTATTATTTAATTACCTAGAGTTAAAAAGAAATAAGCCACTTTCTTTTTCAATGATAATACTGTAAACTTAGAAAAACACTATTTATTTTATAACGAACTACAAAATTCCACGTACATGGCACGTGAACTTACTAGTAGTATATATAAAAATCACTATTAGAAGAAACTTTGTGTTTCATTTAACTATTTTCATTATTTTTTGATGGTAATTGTGTAATTTAAATACAAATTTTCTCTCTCTCAATTTCTCTTTTCTCTCCCTCACGATTTCACCCCTATAAGTTCTCCTCTCCTTTCATTTATGTTATAATTCTCTCTCTCAGGATCCCACCGCTCTAAATTCTCCTCTCCATATTCATTTATGTCATAATCTCCCAAACGTTTAGTGTTTCCTCTTCCTATTTTAATTTTGCCATATACTATGAATCAATACTATAATTAGAAGATCCTTTGCTTCAAAAAAATATATATATATCTTTAATACATTAATTGACGTACCATTATTTTATTAATTTTTTTTAGGAAATGTCTCATTATTTTTAATCCATTTGAATTCTAAAAACTCTGTCATCTTCTCCGTCTTTTCGAGGATATATCTATCTATATCTATATCCATAGTTATATATAAAAACCACTTTAGGAGAAGTTTTTTAGACCAATTTTGCCCTTTATTTATAATGGTTTCTAATAAAAATTTGGTGACAAATTTATCTTTTACTTAAATTAGAGAATTAAATACAGCTAATTTACTAATTATTAATTTAAGTTTTATTTTTTAAAATTTTGAAACGAAATAATTTTTTTTTTATAATATTGATGCAGATGAAATAACTCAAAAGACACCTTTCAACGGAAAATAAAAACCCCAAAAGACAACCGTTTAAAAACTCTCTGTATTATCTTTCCAAAAAAAAAGGAGAAAAAAAACTCTCTGTATTCTTCCGCCATAATTAATTCCAATGCTAAAAATTCATTGCCACTCATAATGAGAACAAGCATAAGAGTGGAAAATTTTTCTACAAATTATCAACTCTATGTTGCATAAGAAATATATGGTGATAAAGAATTTGGCATCACAGCTTACTTCTTGATGCGAATCAATTATCAAATCCAACTCAAGTTTCTTGATTGTCCATTCCTCCAAAAAGATTTATATGCGAGCCAACGCCTCAGTTATATTTTGTTCGAAGTAGGGCCTACTTAGGGTGGCGAGTAGGGATGGCAAAAATATCCGTGGATCCGATTACCGCAGGTACCCGACCCGATCGGATCTGGGATTCTTCGGTTTGACCGGAGATGGGGTCAAACCGGAAATCCCAATCGGGTTCTCCGGTGGGGACGGGGTTGGTCCCCTTGCCCCATCCCCATCCCCACTTCATTTAATTTTTTTATTAATTTTTATATTTTTTATATAATAATATTATGAATATATATTAATTCTATAAATACTTTTTAATTTTTTTTTTTAATAAATTGCACAAATCACCCCTAAAGTATGATGATTGTTACAATTATACCCTCAAACTTTAAATTGTAAAAATTAAACTTTTCAACTTTTATAAGTGAAAAATTGCACCCGTAAAGTATGATGATTGTTACAATTACACCAACAAACATTCAATTGTAAAAATTAAACCCTCAAGCTTTTATAAAAGGAAAAAATTGGACCCTAAACTTCATATTTAAAAAAATTAAACTCTTAAAACATTAAATTTATTCTCTCTCTCCAATCTCTCTCTACTTTCTCTCTCAAGAAACTCTCTTATCACCACCATCACGAGACCTTATCCCCTTTCTTATTGCCTATTTCTTTTTACATTTTTTCAGATAACTTAAATTTCAATCTCAATTTTCTAGCGGTTATGGAAGAATAATCAATCGGTATAATTGAAAACAAACAATCAAACTGGGCTCATCAATTTTCGGGCGATTATATTTATTATGGTTTTTTATTTTTCTACTTTGTATTTTGATTGGAATATGTTGGTCTCCATTGCAGTTTCGAACCCGCCGAGATTTTCTCCCTCGTCGTAGATGTTCTCTTTTTGCTCATCATCCCCTTTGTTCTCCTTTTTGGATTAGGTTTTCAAAGTCCCGTTCTGAGCTTTGAGCTTTAGGCTTTCCTTAGTAGCTTCCACATCTTTACCTTCATCGATGTCGTCCAACGCGATTTTGCAAAAGAAGAAAGTAGAGAGAGAGAGAGGAAGAACAAAGAGAAGAAGGAAAGTAAAAAGACGGGAGAGTAAAATAAATTTAATTTTGTCATTTTATGAAATTTTAAGAGTTTAATTTTTCAAAATTAGAAGTTTAGGGTGAATTTTTTTCGATTTATGAAAATTTCACGTTTTAATTTTTACAATTGTAAGTTTTGAGGTGTAATTCTAATAATCATCATAGTTTAAGGGTGCAATTTTTTCACTTGTAAAAGTTTAAAGTTTAATTTTTATTTTTTACCATTGATAGTTTGAGGGCGTAATTGTAATAATCATGATACTTTAGGAGTGGTTTATGCAATTTGTCCTTTTTTTTAACTCAAGCTAATACTAGATTTAGCCACTTTTTGTTCACTTTTTTACTAATGACAACAAAAATAAATTAAAACATAAAAATTAAATTAAAAAATTAAAAATACATTTATAACGGGGACGGATTCCCCGGATATTCTATAAAAAGCATCTATGTAACCACGATTATAACCAATTATATATTATATTTATAATTTTTTCAAAAAAAAAAATTTTGGTAAGACTTTAACAAATGAGTTACGAAAATTCAAATTTTGTAAAGATGAATAAGTAGGCTTATAGGAGAAAGATGCTATAGAGATTCCGAAAAAAACTATACTCACTAAAAAAAGTTGCATTTTTAACAAATTTATATCAATTTTCAGAATCTTTTGAACTTTCATGTAAAAAGTTTATAGACGGAGTTAGCCATTTGTCTAATATATCCAAATCAATTGTAAACATAGTATCTATTTAAATAGACTCGGATGACCCCTTCTCATACTTAGAATGTATATAACCTACCCCTATGGTCTGGCTCGATATGGAATGAACTTTTAATCATGGAATCGACTCGATCATCAGATTATAGATTATAAGTTCATAACCTTAGCCCATTCCCATTTTGCGCGAAACAATCTACTAATTCTGTTGTACTTTTCAAAACAAACATTTAAATAAAATATTTGGAAGCTGGAGAGTTTATTCATAAAAATTAGCACAAAACCATTCCATTAGCACTCGATACGCACGCACTCGCCCCTGGTGCTACTTACACACTGCTATGCTCATAGACCTTGCGTCAATTCAAC